AGACAAAGTGTATGTGAACTGCTGTATGGAAAGTGAATTTGCTCTGTAAATTTTCACCCAAATCACAATAACAATAATAAAAAGAAATAGCTATAATATGAAAGAATGATTCAGTATTTGCCCAGGTATGCTGCTAGCTTCTCTGTGCATCAGTTCCCTTGGCTCTTTGGTCCACTTCTAAGCAAACATGCTCCTAAAGACCCCATCGTCTTCTCTTTCAACCCTAGTTCCTATTTTTGGTTTATGTCACCATTCCTTTCCCAGTGACCTGGACTCAAAATCTTAATTGTCTCTCTTTTCTCTTGTCCGCAGACCAATCAATTACAATATCCTATCCCTATTTCTACCACTAGTTCATTCATTGAACAAGTATTTATTTAGGTACTTGGAACTGCCTTGCTCAGAGATACCTAAAAGATTGCACTACATCCCTTTTTGTCCTCCCCCTCTTTCCATAATGGCCTTTGGTTAGCACTTGATTGATGCAGGCATCTAACAGCCTAGTCCCTTATCTTTGGGTACGGACACACTCAGTGGTGCATTTCACCACCTGCCCTGGCCGTTCCTTCCAGAAGCTTTCTCAGATTTCTCCAGCCACATGTGAACTTCTGTTCAACTTTGAGAACTCCAAGAACTTTGGCAGGTCTCTCCTGTGAAATGGACTAATCTCTGTCTTATTAAGTAAGTCAACATTTATTTAAGGAGCACTGGTAGGACAGTGGTTAAGCACTTGGCTGCTAACTGAAAGGTCAGGGGTTTGAGCCCACTAGTCACTGAGAGAGAGAAAGATGTAGGAGTCTGCTTCTGTAAAGATTATAGCCTTGGAAACTTTGTGGGCAATTTAACTCTGTCCTGTAGGGTGACTGTAGGGTTACTAAGTCACAATTGACTCAATGGCAATGAGTCATTTATATGGCTTCTATCCTTGATGTCTGTCTATTTGATTGTAAGGACCTTCAGGACAGGAACTTAAACAATTCATCTTCGTTTCTCCTGCAGTGCTTAATATAGTGTCGTGAACATGTTACATACTCAAATGTTTTCAAACAATGAGTAAAGTGGTAGATGTAGAACTTATAACAGGGGAACATTTTATGGTCCTGGATAAATAAAAATTGAACAGGTAGGGAAAAAAAATACCTCTCCAGTAAAACCCTTCCATTTTCGGACACAAAAAAGCTAGAATTTTACTTCTAGTGTCTATTTAGTTAAGGGTATGTTCTTGGGGATACAGCTGTAAGTTCAGTTATTACAAAATAAATCTTGGTAAGCCCTGAAGATCTCTGATTTTTTCCCTGGAAACTGGTCTCCAGTGCAGTCCAGACAGGAAAGCCCAGGATAAGTGCCAAACAGAACACAGGAGAATCAGCGAGTAACCTCCTGGCTGCTATAAGGTTGACGCTCCAGAAAGATGTTTTCAATTTATAGCAACTTTGGGCCTGTGATTTGAACATCCAATCCACAACAAAGGGGAATTCAGCTTGGGTCTAAAATGGCCCGAGACTCAAGCTTGCTTTAGAGACCAAGTAAAATGCTCTTGTTCAGGTCCATCTGCAGCTTTTCATTTGGGATTTATTTCTTTTTCAATTTTTACTCTGTCTTGGGTGAAAATTTACACAGCAAATTTATTTTCCATGCAGAAGTCCATACACATTTTGTTTCATTACATTGACCACAATTCCCCACAGTGTAACAGCTCTCTTCCCATTTCCTCCCTGCAGTTACCTCTTCCCTAAGTCCTTCTTTCCTGTGCATTCCTGCCCCCTGAGCTATCTCCCTGTGCAAATACTGCCCTTTTGTTCTCTCATGACTGATGGTTCTAAGAAGTGTATCTACCTGATGGAAATGTTCACCCCATATGCCTGTCTGTTGTTTGGCTGGAAGCCACAGGAGTGAGTTCAATTCCAGATGTGAAGGGTAACTAGCGGCCATAGTCTCCGAGGTCTCACCAGGCTCTATCAGACCAGTAAACCTGGTCTTTTTTTTTTTTTTTTAATATGATTTTGAGTTTTGTTGCACATTGTTATTCCACTCAATCCAGGATCTCTTGCACCGATCCCCCTCTGAGTGCTTGACAGTGGTAGCCAGGTACCATGTAGTTTTCTGGTCTCATGGCCATTCAGGATTTGTTTAGATCCAGCTTTTTATCCCATCTTGCTAAGTGGCACCCAGTTTAAGGTTAATGAGAATGAGTTGATCAGGGCAGAGGCCAAGCACTGGAGAGCTCAGGTATTAAGGCCGGAGGTCGCGACGAATGAAGGGCGAATGGATGGATGGAGGCAGAAGGCAGGGTGCACTGGGCTCACAGTCTGGGGCTGGGCTCTTCTTATTACCATACACACCCCACTCTGGCTTAAAAAGCAGAAACTTGGCATTCAAGGACAAACTACCATATTATTTGGTGCTTCAAAGAACATGTGACTTTACCATTAACAAGAACCATGCAAATTGGATGAAACATGATGAGGACTTTAAATATAAAAAAACATTGTAGTTGAAGACCTGGACATTTGACTGGGGAGTTGGAGATGCTGACAGGTTTTCAGCTTGCAAAAGTTGCGTAGTGAGCATTTTGTTCCAATCCTCTGCACTTGCTCTTTTAATGCTTTGCTTAAAATCCTTTCATGCCTATGGTATTATAGAGTCCACAAGAGCATGGAGAAAGAATATGGTTGGCTGGGTGTAGCGTGCCTCACTGCTCCGACTCAGCTCTGCAAAGTAGACCTTCCAGACAGACCAAGCTGGCCCTCATTTATCCACCGGCAACATGACAAGGCTTACAAGTGTTATGGCAGCAGGGCTGAGGGTGATTCCAAATCCCGTGTCCCACATGGTTTGTGCCCCTTTCCGCCTGACTGACTTCAAATGAAAATGTGATAGGTTGTATCTAGAAAAATAATCAAGCCACCTTTAATCCTCCGTCACCTGGTGGTTTCACTGACACAAGTCCGGGCCAAGAGTTAATGGCCCTTTCCAAGGCCATGGTAATGGATGAGGTATTTCCAACAGGTGCTAAGTCAT